CAGTGTACTACAGCCTTTCCCAATGGCCATGTTACTGGGGATGATGGGGGTTGCAATCTAGCTTGGCTGTAGGTCAGCTGGGTGGGAAAAGGTGATGCACAGAAAATGCCGAAACCGCAGCTCCTTGGGGAAAAAGAAGGGACACAAGGGCCACCCCGATGGATGCAACAGTGCCGGCTGCTCTGGGCTGTTCCCGGTGCAAGCAGGGTAGACCCGGTTTCCAGAGCATCTCAGATACAGAGGCCTGACTGCCCTCAGCTTGCGAAGCAAGAAGCCAGACTCATGATGCTGCCAGTGAGGGGGAAGCCGGGTCAGGGATGCAGAGAAAGTCTGCATAGCAATTAAAGTCCAGCCTGACTCATTGATTCCAGAGGGGCTCTTGCTATGAAAAGAGGAGAGAGAGCAGATCTGGTTCCCAGAAATAAAACAGACAGAACTGCAGGGGCTGTTGAGCTCTCGTGCCTTAGCTCTCCAGGTCTTTAGCCACCTGCAGCTTGCATCTTCTGGATGTTACCTGAAGGCCATTATGCCAAAGAGCTTCCCCAGAGTCCCTTGCTTTGCTTGACCTTTCAGGCCAGTGGGTGGGCAGTCATGTCCTTCTGAGCAGTTTTGTCCTCTTGTTCACTCTGAACTTGCCGAGACTTACGAGAGATGCACAAAGTCAATGTTTCCTACCAGGGGCCTATTAGATGCGTAGAATTATCCATTCATCCATTCATCCATAATCCATCCATCCATCCATTCTCTCTATTGCCCAATAACTGAGACTCTCTGGGTATTTTCCAACGGTACGTTAAAAAAAGTAGAATACATACCAAATCAAAACTTCATCAAAAGCTTACCATACAAATTTTAAAATCAAATGAAAATCAAAATTTTAAAATATAACTTAAAGAAAATCTTTGAGTTTTCTTGTTGTAAATCTTGTTAGCAACTAACACGTCCCAGGAAAATTAATTAGATGCCCTGCAATAGAGGACAGTCTTAACCTGGCACTGAAAAGCTAGTCAAGTTGGCTCCAGGAAAGCTTCAGTGGGGAGCTTGTTCCAGAGGTGGTGGGGCCACCGACTGAAAAGGAACTTCTCCACGTTGCCACTTGATCACTAATGTAATGTCTCCTTCCATGTACACCTCCCTGAACCTTAAGATCGTCCGCTGAGGTTCTTCTCTGGGCACCTTCTTTGCAAGAGGGAAAGGGCCTTCTCATATCACCCTGCTCAGGGAAGGGCCTTCTCATATCACCCCAACTATGGAATCCCAGATGTCTCCCCAGCGCCTGGCGCTGACATTTCATTCGTCTCGGTGCCCGTCTGCACACAGTGTCATCTTCATCGCTTCCCTTCCTGCTAAAACAGCCTCCTGTAAACTGGAACCCTCCAGATGTTCTGGATGACAACTCCCATTGGCCCCTGCCAGCAAGGCCAATAGTCAGTGTGGATGGGAGTTATGGTCCAAAGCACCTGGAGGGCTCCAGCTGGAGGAAACTGATGCTAACATAGATCAGGAGAAAGAGACACAGAAATGCTGGATTTAATTTCCTGATCAGGTATTATCTTGGAAACTTTCTTTCTGTTCCATCAGCAAATTTAAATTTTGGCTGGTTTTGGAATATTTGCATAATCCATATTCTCTTCTCTTCAGTTCACATTGATTGGTTCCAAATTTGGCTTTACGTGCACTTCCCTTGGATCTTTGAGTGATTGATGTGCTGCTCCAAAGGCATTGTCTTGCTTAAGTTGTGTTTGTTCAGCTGGGATCAATATTTAATGTCAACTACCCATCAGTAACAAGTTCCGGAATGACAAAAGCAGCGCATATCAAACTTGCCTGTACTGAAAAAGGGGAGGGGACAGGATAGAACTGGGAAAATATCTTCAGTTTCCTTACAAACATGTTGAGTGCGGGGAGGGGGTCAACTTTCATCTGAGTTCAATTTGAACTGAAACTTAAAGGAAATTGATAATCCTGGGTTTCCCCCAATTCTACCTGCAATAAAATTTCTTGATCATTGAGCTTCTGTGGCCCCAGGCATTGCTGTAGGGTTTTTATGTTTGGAAAAAAGCCTTCTCTGCATAGATCCCTTGGTCTGCCTTCCCAAACTTCTGTTGGCACGTTCTGGAGGTTTTGGACTATAACTCCCAGCATTCCTCACACTCACACTGGCTGGGGCTGATGGTAACTATATCTGGAGGCTACCAGGTTGGGAAAGGCTGCCCCAGCTAGATAAGGAGTGGTGCATGTAATGTGCATCTAATGTGCCAGTGGGGGGGCCACTCACTTCCCTGTTTCCCCCATCCCCCCCCCTTCCAGTGCTCATAAGGGTCGTATTAGAAAATGGTAGTATTACAGAGCAGCTCTTTGCAAGGCTAAATAGAGAGGGCAGGTCTTGGTTCTCCTGGCAAGTAGCTGATATGTGTTGTTTCCACTTCGTAAGGAGGGTCTCCTTCATGCATGGTTGCATCAGGGTCCCGAGGTTTTCTCTGATAACAAAAAATGACGACAATATTTGCTTCCTTCCTTCTTTCCTTCCTTTTCCTAGTCTTCTTCCCCCTTCCTTCCCCCTTCTTTCTCCTTTCCCTTCTTCCCTCTCTTTCCATTTCTATCTTTCCTTTTTCCTCCCTCCCTCCCTCCCCTTCTGCCTGCCTTTTCCTATCCCTCCTTTTCTCCCTTCCCTTTTCTTTCTCACCTCTTCTGTCTTTCTTGCTCATCTATCCTACCTTCTCCTTCCTTCCTTCCTTCCTTCCTTCCTTCCTTCCTTCCTTCCTTCCTTCTTCTTGCCCCCTCCCTCCATACCAACCCCTGGGGCATAATACCAATAAGGAAAGATCATCTCCCCCCACTGCTTCTTTTAAAATACAAACCTGCTCAACAAGGCATTGCTCAGATGCACCCAGTAAGAACTGGGGAAAAAACATCCCACATGAGAAAGAATGGCATGAACATATCAGGGTCTCTCCAAATAGCCACATCTGAAATATGCAATGCAAATGTAGGCTGTGAGCTGCCTTGGGTGCCTCATACTGAGGCAGAAAGTCAGGATACAGATACTTAAGACAGATAAAACTAATCCTTTCAAAAAGCACCAAGGGAGATGCATGGCTTATGTCCCGCCAGGCAAGGCACCGTTGTCTCGATGTGAACGTCTTTACTGCTTCCTTGTGCCTGGATGCACCACTCCCCGAGCTCCCCGCTGGCCCACCAAGGAGGCATCAAGGGGATCCCTGATCGAGTGCTTGGGAGATGCTACATAAGTGTCCCTGGGTTATGTGAATGGAGGAATAGATTCCCCCGGTTTCCCCTAGGGCGTCTTTCACTCCCTCTGCAGCCCAGGGCTGACTTCTAGGACTCTGGGCTTAAAGTCTGCCCTCCTCTTTCCCCTTCAGTGCCTGCTGGAAGGCTCAGATCAGCACCCAAATTCTGCAGGCTAAGGGGGCCATCATCCTTCAAGGGGTGTCTGTTCAATGAGCCAGAGTAGAGTTTTAAGGCTCAGGAAGGGAAAGAAATGAGGAGATGTATGGCATTGCAGGCTAAGGAGACATCAATCCTTGGTGTATTTTCCTGGAACCTCTGGAATCATTGCAATTTGTGGGTCTTGATTCCAGGCAATCATGGATGGGACAGGACAGACCTGCATGGCTGTCCCTCTGGGTATCCTTCTTTACTTCGGTGTAAGCTCCAGTAAAGCCACAAAGAAATGGGCAGAGGCTCAAGTTGGAAGATTTCCAGAGGAATCGGCCTCGTTGTTCTGACAAGTCTCCCTCCAAAATATAGAAAAAGGGACATGTCTTAAAAACACCCCCTTGCCCCTAAGAAGTGATAGGCTATGATCAGGCCCAGGAGCCTTACGATCCAAGCTTCTCCTTTCCAGGAAGGGTCAGTCTTATGCCTCAGAGAAGACCCCAGGCAAGGACCTTCCTTCTTGCTCATCTCTCCATGCCCGATATCCAGACTTCTGCTTCCCCCTGAACATGACGCTCCCACAGGCTGTGGCCAAGCGCACTCCCTGGGTGACTCGCGGCCAAGCCCTGATGCTCAGCTTCGCGGGAATCTTCCGCAGATAAGATGGAGCGAGGGAGGGCCGCGGAATCCCGCTTGGGTTGCTTGGAGTGGAAAAGAGGAGAGAGCGCAGCAGCGACCAACGCCATGCCATCAAATCCAAGAGCGAGCCTCGTTCTGACCTCTCGGCCCTCCGCCCCCGACTTCTAGTCTTCCTCTCCCTTAAGCAGAAAATAAAGTTGTCCCTTCCTCCGCGCCAGACCAACTGCAGCTTCCCCCAGCAGCCTCTCGCTTCGCCCTCCCCTCCCTCCCTCCCCCCCTCCCTCGCCCTCCCCTCCCCTGCCCCCACCCCTCCCCTCTCTTCCCTTTACAGTTTTTCCCCTCTCTCTTTCCGAAACAAGCGGCCGGCGCTGATGAATTATTCACCCTCCTTCTCCCGTGGCGGAGGAAGGCGGGCCGAGCTCCCGGGGCAGCTCTCTCGCCTCCAGAGGCGCATCCCCGGCGCACCGAGGAACTTTGCGGCCGCTCCCGGCGGCCGTGCGGACAGGCAGGTCCCGGATCGGGCCGGCGGGGAGCGGCGCTCCGCCCCCGGGCCGCCGCCGGCCGCCCCC